CTTGATCCCCCCATTGCCCCCTCCCCTTCTTGAGCCCCCCAAGTGGCCCCCTCGCATCCTTCAGGCCCCTCTGCCTTACTCCAGCTGTATTTATATTTCTTTCTTTTAAACTAGCTTTGTTACACCCCTCATGTGACACCCCTCTCCTCCTCTTCGGTCTTCTCCTGCCAGTCAGTGGTCCTGGATGATGCAGAGAGAGTGACACTGAGGTAATGACACTTACTCCGCATCGGGGGCGCCGGGACCACGACACCCTGTACTCACCGTCTTTCCTCGCTCTTCAACACATAACATTCAACCTGGAAGACTGAGGACATCTTGTGGAGAAGAAGAGGTACTGCGGGAGATCTCCGGGAATGCAGAGCTCCCCCTAGTGGTTCCTTTGTTACATTTTCTATATTTAGTAACAAAACATATGGAGGTCACATCAGGAAAGGACAGAAGAGGCCACCACAAATATGACTTCAGGGAGGACACTACGATGTTATCTCCAGGTGGCAACTCAATGTGAGTTTATTGGAGATACATCACACTTCCTGTTTGAACCGGGATGGTCGGGGTGACCCCCACAATGCGCTCGGGTCAGTTGGGTTGACCCCCACGACGCACCGTTGTCCCGCAGCAGAGATTTTGTTTTATCAGAAGGCGCTTTGACCGTGACCCGGTTGAAGGGTGAGAACCGCGTCAGTCTGGTGGAACTTTCCACCCCGTTGGCACTTTTATGGCTGAGCGACTTCGAGTCTCGGCCCGAGGACGGAACTCGTCCTTTCTGGGAGAGCGAACCCGATGTGTGTGAGAGATACGTGTAGGTGTGCCGCCGGGGAAACAAGATCCCATCACCGGCAAGATGACTATCAGATTGGAACAATTAATGGTGCAAAGCCATGGAAGAAATGAGGAGGTGGAGCTTGGGTTTTAAGTGTATCTAAAGCCCAAACCTTTGTTTTCTGATTCTGGTTGGGCAGCGTCCTTACCGGAGAGGTTCACCATATTCATGGTCTTGGTCTGTATGGGGTTTGTGGTATTCTTGATGGAGCAGGAAAGACCTTCAAGGGGTGACCACATGACCGAAATAAGGAAATGGGAGGAGCCCTCATGGTGAAGTAGTTTTGGAAATGAATGCGCATTAAAAAAAAGGGTTGACCATTTGAGCCCGGTTACCGGCGACCTAGAAGATGCGCTTCTTCAGAATAAGTCTTTCTCTATGAAGGATGATGAGGTCGCGCTCGGTGGTAGGGGGGGGAACCCAATCTGAAGGTCCCAGGGTGGACGTCTGGATGGTGGGATCAATCCAACATCTTAGAATTGTCACCAGAGCAGGAGCTGAGAGACGATCCTCCTGAGGGGACCATTGGCCTAACCGTTCTTTACTCCAAGTTCCCCCAACCTTACCACCATGGCCATGGTCTTTGGTGCTCTTCTAGCCTTGGAACATCACGTTTTCGGTGGCTCCAAGTGTGAAATGCATAGAAGATCTGCATCAGCCACTCAGCAGAGTTTCACCGGGGTTGGCCATAGGAGGCTGCCGACTCACGCTCAGTTCTTCCCGACAATGAGGGTAACGGCATGTGGACAAGAAAAAATGGGGGGAAAAACCTGAAGGGGGTCCAAACCATTAACTATATTTAGAACCCACACCACACATGAACCCACACCTGATCCCACACCACACATGAACCCACCTTCCAGAACCCACACCACACCTGAACCCACCATCCAGAACCAACACCACACCTGATCCCACAACATACCACACCTGATCCCACACCACACCTGAATCCACCATCCAGAACCCATACCACACCTGAATCCACCATCCAGAACCCACACCACACCTGAACCGACCATCCAGAACCAACACCACACCTGAACCCACAACATACCACACCTGATCCCACACCACACCTGAATTCACCATCCAGAACCCACATCACACCTGATCCCACCATCCAGAACCCACACCACACCACATCTGAACCCACACCACACCTGAACCCACACCACACCTGAACCCACCATCCGGAACCCACACCACACCTCACCTGAACCCACCATCCAGAACCCACACCACACCTGAACCCACCATCCAGAACCAACACCACACCTGAACCCACAACATACCACACCTGAATCCACCATCCAGAACCCACACCACACCTGAATCCACCATCCAGAACCCACACCACACCTGAACCGACCATCCAGAACCAACACCACACCTGAACCCACAACATACCACACCTGATCCCACACCACACCTGAATTCACCATCCAGAACCCACATCACACCTGATCCCACCATCCAGAACCCACACCACACCACATCTGAACCCACACCACACCTGAACCCACACCACACCTGAACCCACCATCCAGAACCCACACCACACCTCACCTGAACCCACCATCCAGAACCCACACCACACCTGAACCCACCATCCAGAACCACATCACACCTGAACCCACCATCCAGAACCCATGTGACGGACCCCCGTACTCAGGATGAGTATGTCCGCCGCTGTCTTCTTCCTTGCTGAGGAGATATTGGAACCTGAAGATCCTTAGCTCCCAGTTTCCCCAGTCACTAGCCAAGGCTGGAGTGTAGG